TATATATATATATATATATATATATATATATATATTTATTACTAATAATAATGTACTACTACTATTATTAATACTACTATTATTAATACTAATGTTAATTCAAATAATTGTTAACAATATTACTAGTACTAATTCTAATAATAATATTCATATTATTATTGAAACAAATAATACTGATACTAGTAATAATAATATTAATAATAATAATAATAATATTATTATTATTATTATTAATAGTAATAATAATAATTATTATTATAATATCAATAATAAGAATAGATATACTACTATTAATAATAACAATAATAATAATGCTAATGTCACTGTTAGGACTAATGCTAATAATAATAATATTATTACTAATAATAATGATATATTGATAATGATAATAATAATATTCATATTATAACTTCAATTATTAATGTTAATATTAATTTAAACAATATTATTAATACTAATTTTAATATTAAAAAATATAATAATAAAAAAATGATACTTTGACACAGATAAATTTTTTACATTTGATACTATCTCTTTTTACTTTTTTTTCTATTCTTTCTTAAAAAAAATACAAAAAATTATATTTTTATAATATTTTACTATTTTACTATATGTATCAAATAAATATTAAAGTGTATTCTAATATCATCAATATATATCAATACAATTAATATTAGTTCTACTAATAATACTAATATATAGGTTTAATGTTTTCAGAGGTCCCTATTTTTCGGATTCGTATCAATTGAGTCATGTATTCTAAGTTGTTAATTGAGTTCCTATTTTGATAAAATTGAGTCAATAATACCTTTGTCGTTAATGGTTGTAAATGACGTTAACTTCGTGGCAAGCTGAGATGTCCTTTGATGACGTGGCAATTATATCATTTTAAATTTTAAAATACGTTGCAAGAGCGTAGTCGGTGGTTTACGGCAGAGGCGATGAGAGCCCGGCGGAGGTGCTGCAAGGGCACATTTCTTCTTCGTCCCTTCCCCTCTTCCTTTTCTGATTTTGATTGGTTTAAGGGGTTACCGTTTGTTATCTGATTTTTGCGAACTGGGATGGGATGATTGTTGTGCTTCTTTTCTGCAAATGCGTTTTGAAGTTTCACTGTTGCGATATTGGGGTTAGGGTTCGATTGCATAATGTATTGATTGATCTAAAAGAACACTTTCTTCCTGCCGCTCAATTTAAATTATCCGTAATAAAAAAAAACTTGTTTTTCTATTGTATCTTTTGGTTTTCATGATTTAAAACGAAAAATCTTTTGCAAACCTCACTTACACACGCTTTTAGATATTATATAGTTTAAAAAAAATACTTCAAAAATATTGGATAAAATTACATGTGAATACCTCAAATGAGAAGTAACACCCAATGAAACAGGTAACAACACAGTTAATATGAAGAGATATATAAAGAAATGGTATAAAGATTATATATATTAGAAAAATAAGTGAAATTGTTAAGAGTGTATTATATTGGACTAGATGATATGAGGTGAGTTTAAGAATAATTACCTGATGGTATGAAAATAAAATGGTTATAAAAAAATAAATTTTTATATTTTAAAAAAATAGAAAATAAAAAGTAAAAGAGAATAATATCAAATAAATATAAAATAATTATGTATGTGAAATATTCTAAGTTTTAAGTACTTGTTAGCATGAAAGGAAATCTAAGAGGTATGATATTGAACTTTGAGAATTTTGAAATGACTTTTGCTATATTTGATTTATATTTTATTTGGATAAATGCAGGGAGCATACATGAGGGAATTAAATGAGAGCCATTTGTTTGAGATTAACAGGATAACAATCATCCTGTGGTCCATTAACAGCTCTCCAAGCAAACACATAAATGGCAGATTCCGATGGGTGGAAGGCATCCCAAAACACGGTCTGCTTTCTGTTCAGACATGGAATTTCCAATGGCAGACATGATATCTGACCTCTGTTTCTTCCTACTCCACAGCAAGCTCTGTCCACAACATTAAACTCTGCAAAAAACAACATCATTCCATCTCCTCATAAATCAATCAATACATTATGCAATTAATATAAATATTACTCACGGTATCTCGCAGGGTTGTTCAGGATATCGCCCAATACATGGTAAGTGTTGGCGTATACAAAGATGGAATCAGGATGATCTCTGTTCAGTTGCTCCACCATCGATCTAAGCCCTACGTTGAAGAATCCAACCATCTGATTGACCAAGTCCATGCATCTTCCTGCTGGGGCTAAACCAATCGCTCGAATATTAGGGATGCAACCCAGTGGCCCAATTCCTGCTATGAAGAGCTTTCTTATCCCCATACTATGCAGTGCCTGCATACACCAATACATGCAACATTTTTCAATCAATGCCTTCGTCCAAAACTAACCAAATTTACAACATGATACAAGTAATTAATTAAGCACTACTAGATGTAGGAGAGAAATTGGATTCAATTTACCAAAATTTGTCTCCCTAAATTGTTAACAAGAAGACTGCCGTACTGCTGGGCATTGTAATTATAACTGGAGTTATATAAGCCAGGAATGAGGTAGTTATTGATATAGTCATTGTTTCCGGTTACCACAACTGCTATAGACTTGGCCAAGAACTGACTCAGCGCAGCAGGATTCATCGTTGTCCTGTACTGATTCAAAGTGCTCTCAAAGTTCTGGATTTGCCGGTTCATGGTAAACCGATCGCCCTGCAGCATCATCGTATAAGTGAAAATTTTAATTTGGATATTTATGGTGGTTATGTGATAAAGAAATTCTGTTTACATATATAATGTAGATGAAAGCAAGAGTAAAAGCAAGTGCGGTGAAGTACATAGTTTCTTCCTGACTCATCAAGAATACCGGAAGCACCCGATGCATAATTGACACCATTGAGTATTCTGGATCCAGTCGTGGAGGGATCTGCAAAAGGTGGAGGAGAAGGAACGCCCAGCATTTCTCCTGTGAAATTCATGAAGTTAAAGAGGGAAATGTATTGCAAATCTTTTCAACTGAAACCCTACACGTCTCAGAAATTTCTTTTCGTGATTTTGTCAAACTTTTCTACAATAGTAGATTGCAGTTATTGCAGTTATAAGTGAACTTACCAATGAAATCAACGAGGGATCTGCCATTAGAAAATCTGCCAGTAGCACCACCGTTGAAGTCGATGCCGTAGGGGAAGAAATTTGCTCTTGCGATGGTGTTTAGGAAATTATTGTTGCCAACTTCAACCAATGAATCTCCAAAAACAAACAAAGCAGGTACCCTCTGCGAGTTTACATGTGCAATCTCATTCAAGCACAGAAGCAGAAGCAGCATTGCTGCTGCTGATGCTCTTGCATGTTTCCATTCTCCCATTTTCCTGAATACTGAACAAAAGATGGGTGAAAAGTGAGGGAAATGAAAGGATATTGAACAAAATATTTAAAGGCGTGGAAGCGGTGACGATGAATTGAAATTCATGAAGGTAGATTTACTGCAAAAAGACAAGCCAAGCCATTAGTGTGTGCTGGCGTGCCTTTACTCACGTTTTTGGTTGTTCTTGTTTGTAACCATTTCCATTAACCGTTTTATTCATGCTATCCATCATCAGCTAACGCGTTTCGATGAGAGTAACTGAAATCCTTCTTTGAAGAAAAGTAAGGACAGGAATTGCGCAGGGTGAGATTACTTTTTTATGCTTTCTTAACTCAGAAAACGTGTGAAATGATTCCGTTGTTGTTACTCGAGGGCGGTGAATACGTTAAAGTGGTGTGTAGCTGGCTGCATGGTTTTACCAGAATGCGATGGCGGATAACGTGCGTGGGTTTTGTAGATGACCATGTCAGCAGCTCAAGAGGAGAACCACGGTTAAATTAAAACTCCGTGTCTCGGTTGTTTTAAGAACTGATATTCATTATGATAAAGAACTACAAAATTAAATCCACCCTCCACTTACAATGCTTAATCGATTATCAGAGAAATCATATATTATTGTTTTAAAAGAAGTTAAAAATGGTTTTTCTTTTCTAAAAAAATACTTATATTAATGTTAATTTAATGAAGATTAACTAAAAAATATATTAAAATGAATAAGTTAAATTTATTTAAATAGATGATAAGTTAAATAAATATTAAAAATAAATAAGTTAATGATAACTTAACAAATGCATTAAATATTTATATTAAATAAAATAAATATTAAAAATAAATAAAGGTAGAAGTTAAAGTTATGTGTTATAAATTCAAGTGCATTAATTAAGAATAAATATAAACATAAATTAATTTTAATTTAATTATTTAAATTTAGAGATAATAAATTTTATTAAATTCATTTTATTTATTTACGTTCATAAATCTCCTTACCATTATTTATAAATATTTTTTCATATTTCCTTTATTTATATTCTTCTTCTCATCATTTTCATTCATACTTATTTTTTTCATCCACATTTATCTTTATTATCCACATTTATCTTTATTATGTACGTTTGTCTACACCTATTTTCTTAATCTAATATTTTTTTTCATTTATATTTATTAATCATGAAAATATTGTATAAGATTCTTTAAGTTACTTTTATTACTGTCTATCAAACCGACACAAATTAAACTAATATTAAAAATAAATTTCATTTAGAATTGACTAAGCTATTTTTAATTTAAATTAATTTTAAAATCAAAGCACATTTGACAATTAATTGTTTTAATTAAAAAATTAATTTAAAGGTTTGTGATACAATAGTGTTGAAGCGTTAACTAGTCAACATTATCTAAAATCAACCTTTATAAGTTAAAATTAATTAATTAGTATCCATAATTTTAGAATTGAATACGTGTGTGACATAAATTTGACGTTAATAATTATTTAGTCTCAATTTTTACTTGTTAACATCAGGGTTAAATCCATATTTTCTTATAATGTAAAAAAAGGTTTAAAAGGTGAAAACGAAAAACCTGAACTTTTCTTTTCAAACTTTAATCTCATCTTATAAATTCTATCCAATTTTATTACCCTTCCACTAAATTTTTTATTCTTATAATAAATTCATATATCTCGTTAATTAACATCTTACGTTTAAATGGAAAATAATGATAGGATTTTATGTAAGAAAGTTTTGATGGAAAGTAAATATATTCAGTTGAAAAGATATTTAATTACCTTACAGAAAATATAATTTATAAAATCACAAATAGTTCAATTTAACAAGAAAAAAACTTCATTAACTTATAAATAAATAAATAATTAAGAAAGAATAATAAAATATGTCTCTAAGTCCTATAAGTCACAAAAGAAACTTTTCCAAGGATTACTTCTCTTATAACAAACGGGATATGAAATTCAAATTCAAATGTTAGCTAAGGTGTAATGGACTACAATTCAATCAATGTAGTAATTAAAATAACAAATGAAATAATATTATATATATATATATATATATATATATATGCACCTTTAATTTTTTTCAAAAAATGTCTTTTTTAATTTTAGTAAATATTCTTTTTTTATTTTTTCTCTTTCTTATTAAAGTAACTCTGCATCCTTTTAACCCTACATCCCTTCAACAAAAATGTTTAAAACATTGTTTTTTATTTATAATTTAATAACTATTTAATTTAATTGAAAAATATAATATCATTTAATATTTTTTATATTTTAATAATTTTTAAAACATAATTTATATTATCATAATAATTATATTAAAAAATTAAAATTAAAATAACTAAATAAAAGTAATAAAAATAAAAATAAAAAAGCAAAAATAATAACATAAAATCTGATTTAATATATATTAAATTATATTAAAATATTAAGAAGGGAAAACATGGGCTAAGTTAGTCCAATTGTATGTCTACATGTGGGGAGTGAGAGAGATATTTTGCTTTCTGCACCAAATCATTACTAACTATACCTATATTAAAAAAAACTAAAGTATTATCTTAATATGTATCATATGATCACTCTTACGGTTGCTAGAGTAAGTGATGTACCATTGATGGAAATGCAACATTGGAAAAAGAAGAGAGAAAGCATGCATCATAAGAAAAAACTTCAGAAATTGTCTGGGTTGAAGTCTCTTACTTGTTTAAAGCACTCCAAGTTGTTTTGAATATCGGATAAACTCTTTAATGGTTTTCCATCTTTTAAGTTATGTTACTCACTTTCCCTCCTCCTTGTTCAAATTGTGTGGATGAGTACCTATCAAAGGCATGCTCAAGACATTAATGTAATTGAACGGTTGTCATAATAAGTGATATATATATTGTGTATAATAATCTAAAGTTATACCTGAGACCTTTATTTATACTAAATGTGATAAGTTTTTACCTTTCGCGGACCTAATGACAATCTAATAACACCCTAATTTGTATTAGGGGCTTACTGTGTCATTATCGCAGATAATTTTACCATATTGTTAAGTCATATTTGGCACGACCTAGGCTTGGGTGGGCTCAGAAGGACAGTCTGGGTGGAAGGCCTAGAAAAATGGTCTAGATGAATGAATGGTCTGGGTGAATGAACGACCTAAAAGAAACGACCATAATGGTCGACCTAAAATAACTTAAGTGAACGACTTGATGTTTAACCTGGATGCAGACCATAGTACAAAAATATATTTTATGTATTGCTAAAAGTTATTTTAAAAAACAAATAATCAAAATTTATTTCTATAAAAGAAAATAATTATTTTTAAAATTAGGAGAATTCTCATGTAAGATGTTCTTATCAGATTTGATAACGTTGTTTTTGAGAAGTGATAGTGTGTGATTGGACTAGAAGAATCCTTATGTACTGAAAATTGAGAAATGAGGAGAAATTTATTTTCAGAAAACACTAAAGTCAGTAGGAAATATATTATTAAAAAGACATTTAATAATTGCTTAAAATATAATAAAGTTGTGATTGATGACTGTAATAATAGACCTTTAATAGGTCGCATGATTTATTTGCCCAAGATATATACATAAAAAAAGGACAATAAATTAACATTTTCTTAGTATGACCATTCGATCTTTGCACTGCAACACAATTGACTCTATCATATTTATTCAGTTTCAGACCCCCCATTTACCAACACATATTCTTCTCTTCTTATCCTTTCTTCACTTCTCCACACAACAAAATTCTCTTTTAACTCGATCACTTATGTCGTGCTGATCTACACATTACATATTGGTTTATCTCATCAAAAAATCATTTTATTTTCTATTTACTTTTTTAAACACTAAACCATACTGTTTTTTAACAGTTAAAAATATTAAATTGACTATGTGGAAATGGAAAGGTGGTTATTTTATTTTGAGCATTGTGTGGATAATAAGATGGTAGTGTAGTACATTTTAAAGAATCTATAGATTGATACATAGGATCTGGTAATTAGCAAAAAGCTTGGGATACTGTTAAAAACCTAACGAGATTAACATTATATGGGTGAAAGGCAAAAATGTGGCAGCAAGTAGTTATAATTGGTGTTAAGAAGTTGCCAAGAACGGAGTGGAAAGTTAATAGACAAAGTTAAGCCTAATTGCAGTGTGTCAGTTAGTGTAACGTAACAAACATAAAATAATTAAACTTTAACTAGTCGACAAATAAAGGATGGTATGTGGCACCTTCTGTTGCAAATTACAATTAAATGACAAACTAAGCCATACCTCTTATATGAACAAACAAATTCAACCTATTCAGCCTACCTTATAAATCTATCAACATGCTTCAACCTAGGTTAAGTCATCAACTACGACACGCAACTTCATCTCACACATTATCTTATATTCTCTTTCACCTCACACTCTTTCTTATTTCCAATCTTTTCTTTTCAAAAATACTACTTCTTTCAACGTTTTTAAGACTGATGAAAATATGATACACTTTTACGTTTATTTGATATAAAAGATAAAATTTTATATTTAAAAAAAAATAATAAATAAATAAAAATAGTATAAAAAAAATTAGATGGGTTTGAGAATATTTTTCTACTATGAAATCGAATTTACTGTCGTCAAACGTGTCTATGCTAGAATTTCAATACTGAAAGTACAACACGAGTACCGAATAGTTGCATAAAATATTTTAAATTTTCTAAAAAACATAAATAGACTATAAGTATTCTTTAATGCAAAGATTATATTATAAGAGATTATTACTGTGTGATAGCACCATTTATTTATTTTTACATGAATTTAATAAGATTTATATGCTCATTATTTTAATATCTTGTAGTAACAAATATTTGACGTTTCTTCTTCAGTAACATCAAGCGAGGTAAATTACAGAGTGACCGTGTTCGTTGAGGAGTATCATGAATGTGACATAGTAAAAGGAAAAGGAAAATGCCAGCTAGATTCATCGTACAGTTCCGGGCACAGTCTGTGAGTAAATAAATAAAGGGTCTCGGGGGTGGTGGGAGAGAGGTTAACACTTGTTTTGAGGTGATGAGCATCAGTGAAGAAGAAGGCAAAGGTGGCTCCAGGAAGCGCCGGCGTGAGGCGGAGGCGGAAAATGCATTCCGCGGAGTGCGGAAACGGAGCTGGGGACGTTACGTATCGGAGATAAGGCTGCCGGGTCAGAAAACCCGGATATGGCTTGGCTCCTTCGCGTCGCCTGAGATGGCGGCGAGGGCTTATGACTCAGCCGCTTTCTTCTTGAAAGGAACATCGGCCACCCTTAATTTCCCCGACCTCGTCCACTCCCTTCCTCGCCCTCTTTCCTCCTCCCGGAGAGACATACAATCCGCCGCCGCAACAGCCGCTCTCCACCCTCCTTCTCTCGGTACCGACACCAACAGCAATAGCAGCAGCTGGTTGGACAACTTGGGAGACGAATCCAGGATTTCGACGATGTCGTTTGAGGATGTGAAAGATGCCCCTCTGATGAGCCCCCTAAGGGTGGACTTGACTTTTGGAGATTTCTCATGGAACAACCTCTTCCATTTCAACTATGACGATGTTTTCATGTCATGATCTCAGAATCGGCATTGTATTTCATCTCTTCTGTGCTTTTTCCTACACTTTCTACTTCTAAACTAATAAACTACTGTACATTGAAAATAGACTTCTTAATTTTACTAATCACTTGCATGTGTTTAGATGGACGTCGCCTTTATTAAAATTTAATGCTATTTTTATTTAAATAATTTAAATTAAAAATTACAATTTTTGTTTTTTTTTTAATTCAGAATTGTATTTAGTGTTTTTTTATCAATTTTGTACGTGTTACTAATATCATCTTTTGTTAACATTTTATGAAACAAAACTTATTACTTTCTTTTTAATTGTTCAATATTTAAAAAATTTACTTCGATTTCTAAGTTATTATTTTTTTTTCATAACTTTGACTACACATTTTCTTTTACGATTATATTTAAATGGTGTATAACATTTTAGAAAAAGAGACATCAGTTTTAATAAATCAAATAATTTAAAAACTTCACCCGAAAGAAACAAAAGAAAGTAAACTATAACTTTAAAAAGTATGTACTTAATTTTTTCTTTTATAATCTTTTTGTTTTTTCATTTCCCTCTAATATCGTTTGCAATTAAGATTCCAACAAATATATACAATTTATACAGGATATATATTTCCAAAATATTTGTCATTATACCACAATAGTTTCATTTCATAGATCTTACAAGCTATTACAAATAATAAACATCTACATTTGAGTGAGGAACATATAGAGAGATAATTAGCTCAAGGATTAAGAAGGGCTAAACCAATCTCATCGCTATCTAACATCCTAGAAGAAGTATGAAGCAATGCTTGGTAGGAGACATCTTTCTAAGTTTTGTTTCTATACTTCCATATAGTAACAATGCCAATCGGTAATTAGAACAATAACTACAGTTCTAATTTTGAAATTAAATAAATAAATGGTTGGTATAAATGGTATGATACCATCCAAAAAAAAAATCCTAAAATTGATAACACGATTATTTTTTAACAACTTACATTTACGATTTTATTGTGATTTAGTTATATCTTTAAATTTATTATAGATATATACTCACTCATGAGAATAAAACAAATTATGTTTATTAGATTAATGAAATTTATTTGATTCGTTCAAAGGGTATTTTTCATTTTCTAAAACACACAACTTATTACTTTCTCTCTCAATTATTTTTACTTGTTCAATATTTACAAAATTTACTTAGATTCTTAAGCTACTCTTCATTTTATCATAACATTAATTATACTTTTTTTTCTTTATGCAATTGCATTGAAAATTGCATTTTCAAGAAACATTTAATTTTATTAAATCAAATAGTTTTAAGAAAGAGAAATCCTTATAATACATTTTCTCTTATCATATTCTTGCTTTATATATATATATATATATATATATATTGTGCCACTCCATTGTGTCATTCAATTCAAATAGTGTATATCATTTTAGGAAACAGAAATATAATATTCATTAAATCAAATAATTTTTAAAACATACATTTAATTATTTATACTTCTTTTCAATATTTTAAAGTATTTTGTTTTCGCTTTAGAATATGTAATCGCATAAACCTTTATAATATGTAATCGCATAAACCTTTATAATATGTATCTTCTTGACATTGAATCACTAATAATATAATATTTTTTATTTTTTTTTACTTTCATATAAATAATATTTAATCAATATTTGAAATACTAAGGATACAAGGTACTCTTTTCCCTGTCAAACTTTGATTAGAATTTTTTTTGTGGTTTCGTTTAAAGGTTATCTTCCATCTCACGAAAAAGTAACTTCTCATTCTCTCTTTCAATTTTTTCCTCTTGTTCAACAATATTTCCATAATAGAAGTGGAGTGATTGTCTACTGAAAAATTCTCAGATTTGTTTTAATGTTTTTCAAAAAAGTAAATTCCAAAACGATAGGGTGTTAGAATATGGTGCAGGAAGTAATTAATAGCCTCTGTATGCATATGACTCGGAGCCCATCTATTTGATTAGTTTAAAAGTCCAAATCATTCAATTTATTTATGCACGTATCCCTCACTTCTTCACCTTGCTATATGACTGACCAATTAATTTTAATTTGTAAGTCATTTAAATATTTTATAATTTACAGACTTAATTGTACTTTTAGATTTGTTCATTTGAAAACATTGGTCGTAATTTAACTTACGAATTTAAATATCTAAAAGCAACAAGAATTGTAATCACCGTGTATTGTGGTTTATGTTTCCATCCAACCTAGAATATTCATGAAACCAGTGAATTGTAGTAGGATGTGTTGCTGTCTCTATCTCATCTCCATTTTAACACGTACGAAGTTTATTTAGACAGCCAACAAAACATTAGTACACACTTAATTGATGTTACAAAGATTGCCCACACAAACAGAGGAATGTAGTTATTTTCTTGTTATATATTACCTCAATTTGTTGCATCATCAAAACCACATGATCAAACTACCAATATTCTGGCAATCAAAACATACCATATAACTATAATGCCATTTATAGAGAGCTAGAGATAGGAACATCACACTCTCAGACATCTCTTCCAATCACAGTTACTATTCTTTTATTTTAAGGATTTTCAGTCAAAAGTGACATGATCCTGCACTCTCCAAGCACATCATTTTTAGGTAAATTCACTCATAGCCCTCTGTTCATCATTTATTTCTTATTTCAACTTTTATTTTATACTGTCTGAGCTACCTAAATTGTAGAAAGTACAACTTGCTTGAGATTATTGACATTTGATTCCTTTCATCTTAGAAATTGATAATAAACAAGGAAACAGCTAAGTAGTTTAGTAATGAAGTTCGTTTATAATATTCAAGAATAGCAATTTCTGTGAGTTGCTAATGATTTCAAAACTGTTGTTCAGTACCTGATGGGCAAATAGCATCAAAGTTAGCTCTCTTTGCTGTTTGAAAGCAAGATAAACATTTTGCTCCACACATTCATTGCCTTTTGCAATGAACATCCCACTCATGCTCACGTGATATGCTCAAGACGACCGAAATTTCATTGCTATGATGTGTAGAAAGTTGGCTTAATCAAATTGTTCCAACACAATATTAACAGTTACATCAACAAACGTAGATCACAAGACTCTTCCTTAAAACGGTAACCCATGTTGCTTTAAAATGTTGCATTTACTTGATTCCTGGGACCTAATTAATTAACATGGGAAATCCCATATGCCCATGATGAATTGTTTTCCAAATAATACTTCAGCGTTTCAACCCCTTCTGATTTAAGTACTGAAAACCTTCCTGAAGGACGAATTCAAGTTAAAGGTGGTGTCTTTACAAAGATCGGTGGATCGTGACCTAGTTGAGATAGAAAAGATGAGGGGAAAGGCAGCTTCAGGAAAGACAATTTTGTTCGTATGCATTGCATGCTTTCTTGCAGGAACACTCTTTAGTGGCCAGATGTGGACACGACCCTCTAACCATGAAAATACACTGCAATCTTCCACACCTGATTGTGATCACAAGCGAGTTCGTATACATAATTTCTTGTGTTTCGTTATTCCAAACTATGTTCAGAAAGAAACTGAATTTCATGTTTTTCTAACAGAAACTGATTGAAGGAAGATCTGTTGATGTAATGGAGGAAGTGGTGAAGACTCACCAAGCTATCAAGTAAGATATATACAAATCTCCCACTTAATTACACCAATGTCGTTTCTCCATGCTTAAATCCATTTTCTAAATTTTAAACTTTAACTCTGTTTACTTAACATGTGTGAAACGAAGGTATCTGGATAAGGCAGTTTCGACGTTGGAAATGGAACTGACAGCAAGTAGGAGAAGCCAGAGTGGTGGGAAGCAAATTCGAAAGCATAATGTACAAAAGGCTTTTGTGGTGATTGGTATTAACACAGCTTTTAGCAGCAAAAGGCGAAGAGACTCTATACGCGAAACATGGTTACCTAGAGGTACACTTCTATTACTACTAGCTCATGCATGTAATGTAATATGGTTGATGTGTTTGATGTGTGAAAACAAACAGGGAATGAGTTGAAGGAACTAGAGAAAGAGAAGGGCATTGTTGTAAGGTTCGTGATCGGGCACAGCAGCACACCAGGAGGAGTTTTGGATAAAGCAATTGATGCAGAAGAGGCAGAACACAAGGACTTCCTGAGGTTAGACCACGTCGAGGGCTATCATGAGCTATCCACCAAGACTCGTCTCTACTTTTCCACCATCACTTCTTTGTGGGATGCTGATTTCTACGTCAAGGTAGACGATGATGTCCACTTAAATCTAGGTATGTGTTTCAAATTTAGCCAACATGCAATGCAATAATTGTCAGACAAGTTTTTAATTCCAAAATTTGCATCTATGTTTATTCAGGTATGCTAGTGAGCACACTTGCCAAGTACCGATCAAGACCCAGGGTTTACATTGGTTGCATGAAATCTGGTCCTGTTCTATATCAAAAGTGAGGCTATTCTCTTTTACATTGTGGCCAAAATGGTCCTTTTCTAAACCATGAATCAATTATTTCTTCATAATCTTGTTTGAACATGTATGGCAGAGGAGTAAAGTATCACGAAGCTGAGCACTGGAAGTTTGGAGAGGAAGGAAACAAGTACTTCAGGCACGCCACTGGCCAAATATATGCCATTTCCAAGGATCTCGCCACTTATATATCCATCAATTGGTGATTTCATCATTCTTTCCAATTCTACACTGAGATGAAGACTTGAAGTATATTTTAACTTATGAGAATCACGTTCGATCTTACATTGCAGGCCAATATTGCACAAATATGCCAATGAAGACGTATCTTTAGGTTCCTGGTTACTGGGCCTGGAAGTTGAACATGTGGATGAATGATCCATGTGTTGCGGAACCCCACCAGGTACGTTTTCCTACGTAGTTCGCATGTTAAGAAACTATGTTTTCTGTAATGTTATGAAAGTAATTTCATGGTTATGTTGTACATAGATTGTGATTGGAAGGCAAGGACAGGGAATGTGTGTGTGGCATCGTTTGATTGGTCATGCAGTGGTATCTGTAAGTCGGTGGAGAGAATGAAAGAGATACACAAAGCTTGCGGAGAGGGACACGGAGTTGTTTGGAACATTGAACTCTGATTCTCTATTTCATACACAAAATTTTATACCTTTAGTATTTTGCATCTGGAGAAATTTAATGCA